CTAGATTAAAGGCCCATCTTTTTAACATGGCTTACACATAAAACACTAACATTTCTAATATTCAAATCCATTAAAGGATTTTTAGGCTGCATTAATTAGGACAACCGATGTCTCCAAAACCTTAAAACTGGCTGTTATTAAGCATTTCATAAAAAAAAAAACACAACTTGACCCCAAAGAACTAGTGAATTACAGACCGATCTCGAATCTCCCTTTTCTGTACAATTACTAGAAAAGGTAGTATCCTCACAATTATATTCCTTCTTAGAGAAAAATGGTATCTGTGAGGATTTCCAGTCAGGATTTAGACCGAATCATAGTACTGAGACTGCTCTCATTAGAGTTGCAAATGACCTGCTCTTATCATCTGATCGTGGTTGTATCTCTCTATTAGTGCTATTGGATCTTAGTGCTGCGTTCAATACTATTGACCACAACATTCTTTTGAATAGACTAGAAAACTTTGTTGGTATTAATGGAAGTGCATTTGCATGGTTCAAATCGTACTTATCTGACCGCCATCAATTCGTAGCAGTGAATGAAGAGGTATCATATCGATCAAAAGTGCAGTATGGATTACCTCAAGGCTCAGTACTAGGGCCGTTACTTTTCACGCTTTACATGTTACGCTTGGGAGATATCATCAGGAAACATGGTGTTAGCTTTCACTGTTATGCTGATGATACTCAGCTCTATATTTCTTAGCGGCCCATCGAAACATACCAATTTGAAAAACGAACAGAATGCATAGTCGATATAAAAAAACTGGATGACGAGTAATTTCTTACTGCTAAATTAAGAAAAATAAATGGGTGTTAATTATAGGACGTAAAAACTCTGCACGTAATAACCTAGAGCACGGTCTAACACTTGATGGCTGCTCTGTTAATTCCTCGTCATCAGTTAGAAACCTAGGTGTGCTATTTGATAGCAATCTTTCCTTTGAAAGCCACGTTTCTAGCATTTATAAAACTGCATTTTTCCATCTCAAAAATATATCTAAATACGACCTATGCTCTCAATGTCAAATGCAGAAATGTTAATTCATGCATTCATGACCTCAAGGTTAGATTATTGTAACGCGTTTTTGGGTGGTTGCTCTGCACGCTTAATAAACAAACTCCAGCTGGTCCAAAATGCAGCAGCTAGAGTCCTTACTAGAACTAGGAAGTATGACCATATTAGCCCGGTTATGTCAGCACTGCACTGGCTCCCCATTAAACATCGCATAGATTTTAAAATCTTGCTTATTACTTATAAAGCCCTGAATGGTTTAGCACCTCAGTATTTGAACGAGCTCTTATTGCATTATAGTCCTCAACGTCCACTGCGTTCTTAAAACTCTGTCAATTTGATCATATCTAGAATATCAAAATCAACTGCAGGCGGCAGATCCTTTTACTTTTTAGCGACCAAACTCTGGAATAACCTACCTAACATTGTTCGGGAGGCAGACACACTCTGTCAGTTTAAATCTAGATTAAAGGCCCATCTTTTTAACATGGCTTACACATAAAACACTAACATTTCTAATATTCAAATCCATTAAAGGATTTTTAGGCTGCATTAATTAGGACAACCGTAACCGGGAACACTTTGCATAACACCCAATGTACTTGCAACATCGTTAGAAGAATGGCATCTACGCTAATATTAATCTGTTTTTTTCTTATTCCGAGGCCACCGTAGCAACCAGATCCAGTCTGTATCCAGATCAGATGGTCATTGCAGTCACCCGGATCCAGCCCAGATGGTGGATCAGCACCTAGAGAGGACTTCTACAGCCCTGAATGTCAGCGGAGAATAGGACAACTAGATGAGCCACAAAGACAGATCCCCAGTGAAGACCTTGTCTCCTAGACGGCCACCGGGACAAGACCACAGGAACCAGTTGAGTCCTCTGCACAATTTGACATGGCTGCAGCCTGGAATTGAACTGCTGGTTTTGTCTGGTCAGAGGAGAACTGACCCCCCGACTGAGCCTGGTTTCTCCCAAGGTTTTTTTCTCCATTCTGTCACCGATGGAGTTTTGGTTCCTTGCCGCTGTCGCCTTGCCTCTGGCTTGCTTGGTTGGGGACACTTAATTTCCAGCGATATCGTCGACTTGATTGCACAGACACTATTTAAACTGAACTGAGCTGGATGATGACATCACTGAATTCAATGATGAACTGCCTTTAACTGAAAATTGAGTGTTTACTATTATTATTTTGCATTTTTGACACAATATTTTCCTAATTAATGCTGTACAGTTGCTTTGACACAATCTGTATTGTTAACATCGCTATATAAATAAAGGTGACTTGACAACTTTTGTTGTCTTCAGGAGCCGTTTGTTTGATAATGTGTGTGAAGGCGTTATGGAGAAAACCAAGGCAAGTGAACGTTTTAGAAAGTGTGTGCCAATGTGACCTAGATTTCGGTCACCCAAGGACACACACGATCTATGCGTTATGTGTCTTGGTGAGGACCACACGCGTTCGGTGCTCGAGGGCTCTGAATGCGCTCATTGTGACAAGTTTCCAATGAGAAAGCTCTGTTCGCATTTGTCCCTCTTTTCGAGGGATGAGGGACGAGCGTGTCTCTCATGATTTGGGTCCCGCTGCTGCTGAGGCACAGCGTAAAGTCAGATTGTGGGGTTCGCTGCAGAGTGGTTTGAGAAGGGTGTGGATAAGCGCGAATGTGCGTTTGGCTCACGAGACAGCGAGATGCGCTCATAGTGATGCATTCATAGGGCTACTGAGAGCAGAGGTAAAGCTTTGCCTTTTACTCGTTCACGGCAGTTTCTATTCTCGCCTGATTGAGGGAATCTAGTATTTGAACAGAGCGTGTTTGGCTCTCATGGGAAGTTAAATGCACACTGCATGATCGTGCTGAGAAATGCCTCGATTTTCTTTTGAGGAATGAGTATTGAGCGCCTAATATCTGTGGTTTTGGTCCCACGGCTGCCAAGGCAGCTACGCAGACCGATCACAGGGATTGTAGGTGGGGCATGGAAGGAATATGTATCTTCTGCTCCCCATAGTGTCCGCTAGAGGACGCAGATCGAGTTTCCTAGAAGGGGAACATCTCGGGTTATGCATGTAACCATGGTTCCCCGAGAGGAAACGAGATGCTGCATCCCCTCGCCATGCCTAGTGCTTGTTTGTTTTCACGTCTCCTTCAGGTAACCAAGTTGGTGACGTGTTCGGCAGGCGCCCTCTTATGCCTCCGGGTGCCCGCCTGTGACGTGTATATACTGTATATACAGTATATGTATATACAGTTTATATACATAACTGTGCATAAATATACCATTTACAGTTTTTCTCGATTGCTTAAACACTATCACCAGGCTTTTGAACTAAAATTTGAAAACCATAACGCCATTTATCAAAAAGCACACCCATTTCCCTAAACTATAAACACTATTCCCCTTTTTGACACATGAATCAGATTTGTTGAATGGTCACTGCAAAACTCTACACACAAATCCCTTCATTTCTCATTGCCTAGACCAGGGGTAGGCAAGTTCTGTCCTAGAGAGCCGCAGTTCTGCAGAGTTCAGCTCCAACCCTGAAAACAAAACTCACCTGCCTATAGCCTTAGTAATCCTGAAGACATTGATTAGCTTGTTCAGGTGTGTTTGATTAGGGTTGGAGTTGAACTCTGCAGGACTGTGGCTCTCTAGGATCGAACTTGCCTACCCCTGGCCTAGACCATGTTGTCATTTAGAAAGCACTAGCATTCAATATTGTTAACTCAAGTCAGCATAGTTTGAGCTCAATTAGCACACAGTTACCCACGTGGAAACACTAAGAGTCAAAATTTATCACACACCAATCAGAACCTTCAATAGATAGATAAAAGAGCCCAAGTCAGTTCATTCAGTTTTGGAACAATGGATCCAGAGAGATGTGACTGAAAAGGTCGAGGACACCAGAGAGGAGGAGGAAGAGGATGAGCAAGAGCAGTAAGGAGTGAAGGAAGAGGTGAAGGAAGAGGAGGAGGATGAGGATGAGGGGCAAGGAGACAAGGAGTCTCAGATGAAATTCGTGCCACTAGTTGACCATGTCCTTGTCCATGGTATGACTATGAGGGAGGCTGGGCAATGAGTTCAGCCAAACCATTCAGTTTTGGAACAATGGATCCAGAGAGATGTGACTGAAAAGGTCGAGGACACCAGAGAGGAGGAGGAAGAGGATGAGCAAGAGCAGTAAGGAGTGAAGGAAGAGGTGAAGGAAGAGGAGGAGGATGAGGAGGAGGGGCAAGGAGACAAGGAGTCTCAGATGAAATTCGTGCCACTAGTTGACCATGTCCTTGTCCATGGTATGACTATGAGGGAGGCTGGGCAATGAGTTCAGCCAAACGTAAGTTACTTCACCGTCGCCTCGATCATAAGAACCTCCAGGGAGGAAAACAGGTAGGTGTACCTCAGTGTACTCTACAACACATGCATCGAATTGCCTTACATACAGATAGAGTTTCTGTCTTCTTCCATTTTGTAAAAAGGATGTTACAGTTATAGTAATCAGTACTTCTATTTTTGTAGGACACAGAGACGATGGAATGGAAGAAGCCTAGATATTTCAGCTGATGTCAGAGGTGGATCAGGCATGCAAGAGGATTTCCCCCCTCGCTGCCTAGCTAGGGCCAGTATAGCCTGTGATGTTGACGAGATTCTCTGGCCTGACCCAGAACAAAGATGTGATGCTGGGGCAGAATATTTTTGTTGTTGTTTGGTGTATTGTACTGTACAGTACATTAAGGAATAAAACATGTGCAAATGTATACACACGTATTCATTATGTGAAAAGTTCCTTGAGGGGAAGAACCACAAGCAACATAACTTATTACTGTTATTTGTTTTTTGCAGTATTGTTTTGAATTGATCTCACCAGTGTGTAAGACTATGTTGCAGTGTGTGTGTGTGTGTGTGTGTGTGTGTGTTTGAGGGCTTGTGTGTGATGTCTGAGGCCAAAGTTTGGTTTTTCAGCAAGAGTGAATGGTTTTGAGTGTAGAACTTAATTTTGACCTGAAAATAGGATGTTTGGGGAATTGGGTAAGACGTTATGGATTTGTGTTTACCGTTTTGAGAATACGAGACATAGTTTCAAGAACTGTATTTAAGCAATCGAGAAAAACGTCTCAGGTTACTTATGTAACCATGGTTCCCTGAGTAGGGAACGAGACACTGCGTCCTCTAGGGGTCGCTATGGGGAACGCCTCGTCGTGACCCGTGTCTGAAGCATACATTGAAAAAACCCCAACCCGTTGGTATATATACACACCATTTTAAATCAAATCAGGTACTTTTTAAATCATAAAGGGCTCAGTCTGCTTTATTACTCTTTAAAGTGTAAAAAAGCAGTATCAGTTGATCGAAAGGAGCTAATTGTTAATAATTGCTCTAACCTTGATTCTGCCCGCATACAGAAGTCTCCTATTCACACGGCTCACTTAAAGGTGACAAAAAGGACAATATTACCCACCCTCTGTGCACATAATGGGCTGTGCCTAGTCTCAAAGGCAGATAGCTGTCTATGCCTGGTAGGCACATGACACCATGCTTATAATTGTGTAAATGAGTATGTATGTGCGAGTAGTTGCGGTGCTTCCAGCTCTGCAATGACAGGGACACACAAAACAATTTCACGCCCCCCAGGGGAGCGGAGCAATGGAGGTGCTGGGGACTGAGGCATGGCCCCTGAGCACATCACTTCCTCCGCTTCAATTAGCGTTCAGCTCTCGCCTGCTGGCCGCCGCAACACAGGCATCTACCAAGCATGAAAAACACCCAACAACACGCTTGGGCTACAGCAATCTGTCCCTGCCTCTGTGACACATATGACTCTAATTTTACCCTTCCCAAACTCAATATAGTTCTTCTGACTGTATGACATGGCACAGCCCACTTCCCTCGCCCAGATCATTTCTGGATCCACTTTTAGTTTCACGGTTTAACTTGAGTCAGATTGTTATTGCCAAGTCATGATCTCCTAAAATTGATAACCTAGCACACAGTCCAAGAAAAAAACTATGATTTCCTTTCTATATAAATGTATAGCACAAATGTATTACCCACAATTCTCTCTTGCACTCATAACAGCAACGTATAAACAACAATCTCATGGTCCCTGCAGCAGTTATACATTATGTGAAGGAATAACCCAGTGTCTCTTTTACTGTAGTACTGCTGTGTGCTGAATCAAGAAGTTGAGGCAGGACATATTCATAACTTTTGCCAGCCATTTTAATAGGCTACTTACATTAGTTGCTAATGCTAAATAGAGTAAGGTGACCAGCTTTCTGAAATGAAAACCAGGGACATTTCCTAGTTCAGTGGTCAAAATATCATTGAAATCTCACTTGTGATTATTTACAAATGAAAAAAACTAAACAAAAACAATGGACAATTTTTTAATTGTTAAATTATTTAACAATTAAAAATTATTTAAAATTTAAAATAAAATTATTTTTTAATTGTTGGGGTTTCCATATATTAATATCATATTTAATAATTACAATGAAGTTTGAGGATCAAACTTAGCCTATTTTATTAATAGGCCTACAATTAATCAAAAATCACACAATGAAAAGTAAATAGTAACTGTAGATAGTAAAGGGATCAAAATAGGATTATAACAAAATGATGACTTTACAAAACACATTAAAAATAAAACTATAAATATGAGAACATATGATAAATGAAACTGTATTTAACAAATATTTTAAAATTTTCTGACTGTATTTAACATTTTCACAAACTGTGAGTATAAAGTAACTACAACTTTTCAAATTATTTTTTCCAAGTTATGTTATGCTTATGCTTTTGGAAATGGAACTGGATTATTATTATGCAAAATAATAATACAATATTATTTTGCATTTTAGGCTAATTTTGACCACAAAAATATGTGCTTTCTGCAAGTGTTAATTGTTTAGTTTATTATTTTTTATATTATTCATATCGGAGATGTGATGGCGAAAGTTTCAGGAATGATTAATACTGTGTGACATTTCCGGGGACAGGACACCAAAAACCGGGACTGTCCCCGGAAAACGTACAACAGTGACCCTGCTTTTTTTATTTTATTTGTAGTAAAACCATGGTTAAGTTTTGTAAGGGCTGACATCGTAATTATGACTTCCCAACACTTAACCTCCTGGGGTCGACAATGTCAAGTCTAGCCCGTCTGCCTTCATTATCTCTAATTAGATCACGCCCACGAGCCGATCGAGCTCGCTTTTGATATTACACTAGTTCACGTGAGACGCGCGGCATGTAAACGCCCACATCACAGCAAACAAAGCAGCGAGACTATTCCTCAAGTTCATCTCGGCTACTTCGTTTCTGGAAGAAGACGCGCTGAGAGGAATAAGACATAATTTACCTCAGATGAAGATGCGTTGAGAGGAATAAGACATAATTTACCTCAGATGAAGATGCGCTGAGAGGAATGTAATTTACGAACTTACCAGGAGGACTTGAACATACCATTAGATTACATAGCAGCAGCTTGTAGTAGACTAACATTAGCCTCAAAGCTAACACACGAGTAAACAGCACAAATTTAGATTTCACAGAGGCAACTCTTAGGTGTATACTAGCTAGGGTTGCCCCCTAATATTCGACTAATCGTTAGTCGACCAGAAGAGGCTTGGTGGACCAAAATTTTATTAGATGCTTTGTTGCATAAGAAAATAAATAAATCCACAGGGCGAAGTCACGCGGTTCGTGACGGACAGATCGTTAACGGCTAACGTTAGTCCATGGTAATACAGTACATCAGGCAGGACATCCAAACGATCATTCATCGACCTTAAATATGGCTTATCATCTGAAATATGTAAGTATTAGAAACTTTACATGACTGCTCAATCTAATGTTAACCTAGAGAAATGTGCGCTATTGTGTCTATGTGGAGTGTAGAAGCTGAACAGCAGCGCACGCTTACTGCAGGACAGATGGAGGTGCCGGTGCGCTCACTTGCTCTTAAAATAGGCTACTCCGTCATTTTTGGTCATTCAGATAAAAGTAATACATCTTACAAATCTGTAAAGACTCAATGTTTATTTGTGTGCACTCACAATAACAACAAAACGCGCTTTTGTAAACTAATGAAAGCAAACAATATGCACTTTCTGCAGTCTCGGTCTGTGAACTTGAGCGAGAAACTCAGTGTATATATTTTCCTTACAGACATTAAAATATATATATATATATATATATATATAGAGAGAGAGAGAGAGAGAGAGAGAGAGAGAGAGAAGTAT